AAGGATGTGTGTTTTCAGATGGTCTTAGGCGACCCCTTTGGGGGTCGCGACCCACAGGTTGAGAACCGCTGATTTATAGAATGTTTATCACATTAACATAAAACATAATAATGGTTAACTTAATTTAACCAAAAAAATCGAATTACGACTTAAGTTTAAATAATAACATAAAATCACACTGGTAATTGTGACATGTGTCAGACATAAGCTTTATAGTGGTTGGAGAATCCTGAAACTGAAATAATATAATTTCTTTTTTTCCTCCCATAGTTTGTGAGCTAATGACACACTCTAAGAAACGGGACTCATCAAATTTAAGAATCTTTAAATGTCTGATTGGAAAACCTCATTCGAAGCCAGTGCTGTCTTTGGGCTTCCTATAGCAATGAACCCGGTGAATGGTCGACTTGGCACTTTGACAACAGCGGCACTGTCGCGGTACGCGTAGGTGATAAGCCGCCATGAAATTAACTTTGTGACTTACAATGTACAGGGCCCTCTGATCGTGGGGGCCGCTTGATTCAGACAGAGCGAGTTCGTCCCGATACGCCAGATCTAGGTCAATGGAGTTTGGATATTTTCTCTGAAGAATTGAAATAATCCTGGTGCACTCCGGGAATACGTCACGTACGTTTCATGAAACGATCATGGGATATAAGAGAGACAGGCTATAGATTGAGTATAAAAAATGGGGGGTTCTCAAACGTACAAAAGCCAGGGTCTTAAGAGAATTATTTCGAGCACAAAAGAGCAACATCTAATAATTATGTTACATGAAGTAAGTAAATTGAAATTTAAAAAGCAAGCAATCAGGAGTGGGAGTGAGTCGCGGTTACACAAGAATTATTACATGATCTAATCAAACAGTAAACACTCTTTGCTGCAGCATCTCATTTCTAAAGTTAAGTAAACGGTAGCTAGTAGCACTTTTTTTTAACGCTATCCATTATAAAGTTAAAGTTAAATATAAAAACTTCAATAATTCAAATTATTTCATGCGTAATAAATTTGATGTTGGCCACTTGTTTGGGATCAACCATTTCAGTAACTTGTGGCGCACCAACAGACAGGCAAAATAGTCCCAAAGGAAATCATCATGGGGACAAGCATTTTATTTTTATCTCATGTTATCTCTGCCGCCAAATACAACCTTTAAGCTCAGAGATATCATGTAAGCCTACTCAGAGATAGCGCCTAAGACCATTCAGAGATATCATGTAAGCCTACTCAGAGATAGCGCCTAAGACCATTCAGAGATATCATGTAAGCCTACTCAGAGATAGCGCCTAAGACCATTCAGAGATATCATGTAAGCCTACTCAGAGATATCATGTAAGCCTACTCAGAGATAGCGCCTAAGACCATTCAGAGATAGGATGTAAGCCTACTCAGAGATAGGATGTAAGCCTACTCAGAGATAGGATGTAAGCCTACTCAGAGATAGGATGTAAGCCTACTCAGGGATAGCATGTACGGATACTCAGACATAACGCGTTAGACCATTCAGAGATATCATCTGTAAGCCTACTCAGAGATTAGATGTTAGCCTACTCGGAGATAGCATGTACGCCTACTCAGAGATGGGATGTAAGCCTACTGAGAGTAGAGAGATAACATGTAAGCCTACTCAGAGATAACATGTAAGCCTAGTCAGATATAGCATGTAAGCCTACTCAGGGATAGCGCGTTACACCATTTAGAGATAGCACGTAGAGATAGCGCTTAGGCCACTCAGAAATTGCATGTATTGTTATTTAGAATAGAAAACCCTGTTTACATCAGGAAATCGTTTATTTATAGTTAGTTATTTAAAGGGGTCAGAGGTCAGTGTTTCAAATGGTCTAATTATAATCTTAGTACTTCCAAAATAATTATTTTTTGTTTTGGTGGGAAGGGGGGGGGGGGTAGTAGTATTGTCAATTGAAATCACGGGGTGAAAATTTAAGTGGCAGTTTCAGTGTGTGAAATAAACAATGCATGGTGTTTCTTTTTTTATGGTCTAATTATAATCTTAGTACTTCCAAAATAATTATTTTTTGTTTTGGTGGGAAGGGGGGGGGGGTAGTAGTATTGTCAATTGAAATCACGGTGTGAAAATTTAAGTGGCAGTTTCAGTGTGTGACATAAACAATGCATTGTGTTTCTTTTTTAGAAACATTAGGCCAATTGCGCCAGCAAACTCATTTTTTAAAGTCGTTGTGAGATCTTTGAATCAATTCCAAAGGTTTCACGTGATTTAAACAAAATTAACAGTCTATCAGAGGGAGTTTTGTCCCTTAAATTTCAACCCTACCCCCAATAGCTTTATATTTGAACCCACATTCAATCAATACCTTTATAAGTTCTAGTAACAAGTATCCCAGTGTACTGCAGGCTTAAATGGTGACCATGTTTTATATTTCCGGTTTTCCTAGATGAATCCACGTACATATGAAGTCAATGAATAGTAGAACAAGGTATGAAGTCAATGAAATAGTAGAACAAGGTATGAAGTCAATGAATAGTAGAACAAGGTATGAAGTCAATGAAATAGTAGAACAAGGTATGAAGTCAATGAATAGTAGAACAAGGTATGAAGTCAATGAATAGTAGAACAAGGTATGAAGTCAATGAAATAATAGAACGAGGTATGAAGTCAATGAATAGTAGAACAAGGTATGAAGTCAATGACATAATAGAACGAGGTATGAAGTCAATGAATAGTAGAACAAGGTATGAAGTCAATGAAATAATAGAACGAGGTATGAAGTCAATGAAATAGTATAACAAGGTATGAAGTCAATGAAATAGTAGAACAAGGTATGAAGTTAATGAAATAATAGAACGAGGTATGAAGACAATGAAATAGTATAACAAGGTATGAAGTCAATGAAATAGTAGAACAAGGTATGAAGTCAATGAAATAGTAGAACAAGGTATGAAGTCAATGAAATAGTAGAACAAGGTATGAAGTTAATGAAATAATAGAACGAGGTATGAAGACAATGAAATAGTATAACAAGGTATGAAGTCAATGAAATAGTAGAACAAGGTATGAAGTCAATGAAATAGTAGAACAAGGTATGAAGTCAATGAAATAGTAGAACAAGGTATGAAGTCAATGAAATAGTAGAACAAGGTATGAAGTCAATGAAATAGTAGTACAAGGTATGAAGTCAATGAAATAGTAGAACAAGGTATGAAGTCAATGAAATAGTAGAACAAGGTATGAAGTCAATGAAATAGTAGTACAAGGTATGAAGTCAATGAAATAGTAGTACAAGGTATGAAGTCAATGAAATAATAGAACGAGGTATGAAGTCAATGAAATAGTATAACAAGGTATGAAGTCAATGAAATAGTAGTACAATGTATGAAGTCAATGAAATAGTAGTACAAGGTATGAAGTCAATGAAATAGTAGTACAAGGTATGAAATTAACATGACACTACACCCCCTCTGACAACTTTTCTCTGACTCCAACACCAAGCAAGGACAATGGCATAGTCTGAATGTAATATTTGGTCAATTGGTGTTAATTTACATATTTACACCAGAAAGTTCCAGCTGGGTGGTATTCCCACTGAGACTTAACTAAGCTATTACATAGACATGTTGTTTGCACCCCCCTAGAGTGACTCGTGACCATTGTTCGCCTGGAGTGTCCAGTGACTCTTGCACCTCCTGGAGTGACCAGCGATTTTAGTCAAATGTCACTTGCTTTTCCCTTCCCACAGGAGACTGTCCTTTCAATGAAGCTTTAATGCATATCTATTATGGCAGCCCTACACAACTCAAAATGTGAGGTGGGCCATAATACTTTATGAAAAACTTGTGCGGGTCGAAAGAAAATAGGACAGGGGGAGAGCTATTAGGAAAATAATAATAGTAAAGAATAAATTTAATGTGACACATTGCATTGTTTTTTGGTAACAAGTTTGTCGTATTCAAGAGATATATATTCGAAGTGGCTGTTCTCAAGATGTCTTCCATATTATCATCAAACATGCTTGAGCATTTCTTGCATTTAGTAATGTTCATTATTGAAAATGTCTGTTCACATCGATAAGTGGTTCCAAATGCACTAAAAGAATTAGTGCAACTTTGTAAAGATTTTTGTACTTCTCACGGTCCAGATTTTTATAAAGAAAACATGCAGTGAATATTTGAAGACGATAAATATTGAGAAATTTAATTTGATTTAATAAAAAAAATATAATAAATATTCATTTTAAGTATATGTGGGTTGTGGGAATAAAAATTTTTTTTAATTATTTAAAATTGAAATAAATATTTATATTTTTTTTCTGCATATACTTTTCTTAACATTATAAATCAATAATCAAGGAAATATTTTTAATTTATAATATTACAAATTGTCACCAAAGTCAGGGCCACACGGCAGCCCCAGAGCCATATGTTGTGCAGGCCTGTATTATGGCATATTACTAAAATCAGCTGGGTAAGAGGGTGAAGACCAAAAACAAAACAGAACAAATATATATATATTTTCTTTTTAAAGGGTGGGGGGAGTTGTAAGGAAAAAGATTTGAACTTTGGGGACATTAAAATGAAGTAGACAGGCCATGAATTCAACAAAAATATATCTATAAAAATCATTTAGAGAGTATTGAAGTAAACCCTACAAACATTGAACAAGTTAAATGTATTAATTTCACCAGTTATCAGCTAAGCATGATGTACTACTACCCATGACACAGCACAATATGTTATTATAATATGTCCTCCTGTGTGGTGCCTCCATGTTTAGCTTTGTACAGTCCCAGCCATTGATAGTTTTGTTAACCCTCTTTTGTATAGGATGTATGTCATCCCCAACAAACAGTGGTGTGCAGTAAAGACTCTACCATTGGGAATATTAGTTCACTAGTCCCACCCACCCCTGTTATTTTAGTGAAAGGGCTGGACAGTAGAAACATAAGAGCCTACAAAGATGTCAGTGCTATCAAATTAACCCATTAAGCAATGTATAGTGATTAATGACTTATTAATGAACTTACCAGAGACACTTATTTGAAATACTCCCGTCCTGGCCACGTTAGAATTAAGGCGAGGGTCTAAAGTAACTTCCCCTGAAGACTCATTAAGAGAGAGTAACTCTGCCTTATTCCCAGAAAGAATCTTGTAGACCAATCGATCACGATCAGAGACATCGGGGTCATAAGCAGGAATCTTGCCGATGGGCCCGTTGGGGAAATTGCCACCAAAGTTGTTGTAAATGATGGAGAAATCATCTAGCACAGGTATATTGTCATTAACATCCTGCACCTGAATGATAACTTTAGCACTTGAAATCAAAGTACCTGAGGCGGCCCTGAGAGTGATCTCATACTTCTGGCGGCCTCCTTCATAATCAAGACTGATTCGAGTGGTTATGATTGCAGGGTCACCGAGCCGTCCAGCCAGTTGAAATGAATTTGAGTCATCCCCCTGCCCAATGGTGTACGAAACCAGGGCATTAGCACCCTCATCTGGGTCTACAGCTGTGATCACTGCAACCGTTGAGCCCATCGGACTGTTCTCTTGAATGAACACAGTGAAAACACTGTTCTCAAAGATAGGGGGGTTGTCATTCACATCTTCCACATCGATATGGACAACAACGGATGCCGACTGAGGGCTCACAGGATCAGAATCAACGGCCACAACAACCAGATCGTAAGAGGGTGTTACCTCCCTGTCCACTTCCCTGGCCAGACGTATCCATCCCTGGCTGTCAATACTAAATGCACCGTTGCCATTATCCCCTCCGTCAAATGTGTACCTGACTTTTCCATAAACCCCATCGTCTTTATCAACAGCAGTGACATTCAGAATTTTGACACCCGTGAGGGCGTCCTCTGAAACTTTACCAAAATATTTTATTTTCTGGAATTCGGGTTTATTGTCATTGACATCTGTCACCGTGACAACAATTTCCTGTTCATCCTTCAGGGGAGGTATACCATTATCCGTAGCTGTGACAGAGAGCATATATCCAGGGACAGTCTCTCTGTCCAATTTCTGTTGTGTTCGCAGAATGCCAGTGTCAGGGTCAATTGTGAAAACAGGAGACGCCTTTAAGGAATAGGTGATTCTGGCATTTTCACCTCTGTCTCTGTCGACTGCTAAAACTGAAAAAACAGATGTCCCAATAGGCACATCTTCACTGACCTCAAAAGTGTACGGGACATTGGTCTGAAACTCTGGGGCATTCCTGTTGGTGTCCAGAACGAATATTTCAACCGGCACAGATTCACTAAAACCATCTTTATCTGTGGCAGAGATGGTCAGCAGGTACTTGCTTTGATCCCTGGCATCCAGTTTCTTGTTGACTGTGATGGTGCACTTTCCCCCCGCCACACGGAGCTGAAAAGCATCTTTGTCGTTGCCCCTGTCTATGCTGTAGGTAACTCTGGCATTTTCCCCCTCATCTGCATCAATTGCCAACATCTCCACAACAGCGTCTCCCTTGTTGGCCTCCTCTGAAATAGAAGCATTGTAGCTCCGCAGTTGAAACTTTGGTGGATTGTCGTTAATATCTCTGATCGTTATAATGACAGTTGTGTTGGCACTTAAAGGCTTATCACCATTATCCTGAGCTTTTATCCCAAATGTGTAGCTTGATTGGCTTTCCCTATCTAACGGACCAGTTGTTTTTATCCATCCAGATTGCTGGTTGATGTCAAATGGGAAAGGATTTGGAGGGTTGAGGAATGAATAAGAGATTTGGGAGTTTTTTCCACTGTCTTTATCTTCAGCCTGAACCTGCAGTACAATTGAATCAACAGGAATATTCTCATCCACTGTCTTCCTGTATGAGGACTCGTAAAAAATCGGACTGTTGTCATTGACATCAATAACACGCACAGCAACAATTGTAGCTGTACCCTTTGAGGGTAGTCCTTGGTCCTCTGCCCAAACCGTGAGCTGGTAGTTGGATGTGGCTTCGTAGTCCAGCGGCCCAACCAAGAATAGTTTTCCCGAGTACTTATCGATGGTGAATTTGTCCTGGTTTGGTCCAGACAACCTGTATGATATTTGTGCATTGACACCCTCATCTGCATCTGTGGCTGTGACATTGAGTATTTCTTTGGTCTGGCTAACAGGCTGATCTTCAGGGATGTTGATGACATAGCTATCCTGTAAAAACTGAGGACTGTTGTCATTTTTATCAGCCACATTTATTGACAACGTAAAAGTGGAGGACTTCCTGTCGTTTACATTACCCTGATCAACAGCCTGAATCAGCAACTTGTAACTCGATACCTTTTCCCTATCCAATAATATCCGCGTTGATATGGACCCGCTTTGTGGATCTATCATAAATGCATCATTGGGGGCTCCAGGGTTAAGAATGCTGTACCTAATAATAGCATTGGCCCCACTGTCACCATCCACTGCTTTAGCTACATAGACTTCCAGACCTGGGGCCTGGTTTTCAGGGATTTCAATTCTAGAACTTGTTGATGGGAATGTAGGTTCATGGTCATTCACATCATCAACGGTGATAAGAAGATACGTTGAAGCGCTCCGGCGTGCCGACTCGGGAACAGCCTTGTCAGTCGCTATGATCACAAAGGAATGGCTTGCCATGGTCTCCCGATCAAGCTTCTTGGTCGTGTTGACCAGGCCAGTTGTTGGGTTGATGGAAAACATGTCCAAGCTTCTCAAATCCTGATTGGCTTCCATTCTGTAAGTGAGCATTCCTGCCTCACCTTCGTCTGGGTCGGTGGCTGTAATTGTGATCACGGACAAACCTGGTTCCTGTTCCTCCGTGATATTTTTACTGTACTGTGCTGATGAGAAGGAAGGAGCGCTACTTCTAATTTGTCTTTTCTTTCTTTGAAGTGTGCTGTCGTAGGCAAAAGTGGGGTGTAGGCCTGAGGTGGGGTGCAGGTCGGAACTCCTCTGAAGTGTGTTGTTGTAGGCAGTGGGGTGTAGGTGTGAACTACTAGGCTGCTCTTGAATGATAATAAGATATGTTACATACTGATGGTCAGAACCTGGGCAAATTGCTGAAAGAATAAGATTGATCCTAAGATCCTGGTTCACGCATGTGTCTACAATGAAAGAGATATCCAAATTTGAGGAATTTACATTCACATCAGAGGAAATTGAGACAACTCTTATTTTACACGAATGAAACTGCAATGGAATAAAATCATACAAGGAAAAAGCTGTCTGGTGTGATGTGAAACAGTTATCCAAAGAATGTAATTTTATATTGACAACAGCTTGATCAGCGTTTGATTTTAATCTCTCTCTCAACCATTTTTTATGAAAGAATTTACACCTATGCCCATGCATGAAGATGAAATATGGAGTTACTGTTGTGACATAACCTGCCACATTGTTCATTTGAAAAGATCTTTTAGACGCTACCACACTGAACTGCAAAGGATTGCTTTTGGCCCTTGCACAGTCCAATTTTCTATGCAGTATAACAATTCCGTCATGTAGTGAATTAAGAATAAAAAATGGAAGCGCATGTTTGCTGGATGTCGCTTCAATATCATAATGCCATTTGTTCCCTGGCAGAGTGGAGTTCACGATATTTTTTGTGCCGCCTGGTCCAGTGCTGGGTTGGCGAATTTCAAAAGAACGCGTCGAATTAATGCAGCTTAAAAGTATCAAAACTATTAATGTAATACTGACTGTATGAAGGTGACTGGCAACGGATTTATTTCTTGAATACACATTTACTCCCAACAGTTTCGGGGGCGTGCGTGAAAGAAAAGAAAATACCCTTTCAAAACTATTATTCATTAACTTTCCCATATTTGTAAACATCAATAATTCATATTTTCTTGCGCTATGATGATAACAGCAATAATTGGCGATAACTATTTTAGCAGAAAGACTTTGATGCAATTTTTTCCAAGAGGCTATTTAATCGAGCAAAAATGTGTGCTTGATGTTTAATCACAACACTGCCTCTCACGCTCCTGATAAAAGCGAAGGTGAACAGGTAACGTAGTGTAAACTGAACAGCGGTGATCAGCGATAGGAAGAGAAATAGCTCAGCAACAGCACGTCACATTCATGCCGCTATGTGTGTGCTCCCGTCCGCAGGGCTACCCACAGAATAAGATGGTCATTTTTTACGACAAACAACCAGTCTAGAAGAAAACTCCATCCCATTTCGAAAAACTTCTCACACAAATTTATGGGTCACCGTCGTTATCCACGCAACGGAAACTATGTCATTGAATAGAATCTCACCGCCTGAACAGCCAGTGACACCAATCATGGCTGGAAGCGTTCGTGCGACAGTCGCCGCCGTGCCTTTTCACTCCCGCCGTGCAAATACAAAGGACTTTTGTAATACCAAATTTTGCCATTCATTTGTTTATTAACCTCATTCTTTTAGTCAAAACTTTAATCATGTTTTAATATTAATCATTTTCTGTATTTCTAAAAGTAAAAATTAATCATTTAATAGTTACTGAAGAGAGCGTTTTCCTTCATTTTACGTCCGTCAACTCACGTAGTTAGTAGTAGGGAGGATTATGTAACGGCGGGACGATTTGTCACGTGACTGACAAAGGTGTTCAATGTCTCTAACACACGGCAACTTTTTTTGGTGTGCCTGCTTAAATTACCAAATACTCCAAGATAATCCTTTTCTCTCCAGTCCCATGCGTACAATCACACACACACACACCTTTTCAGTTACAATTTATTTTAATGCTTGGGCAGACATGCTCCCCCCCCCCGGGGTACAGTGACAAGAGTCTTATCGCACGGGGACTATGTACAGCTGCCCGGGGGTGGCAGACTAATAATAAGATATGTAGGCTACGTCGTGACATATGAAGTGATCATTTCAGAAATTTTCCCCCGGGGGTGGGGGTGGGGGGAACTTCAGAGTTTTCGGGGGGGGGGGGGGGGGCAGGGCCATGGGGGGCACCCCCCAGTGCCCCCCCCCTTAATGTAGCTGAAAGAAACCCTGGACATATGTACATCGTGAAATACAGTCAATAAATGATTATAGAAATGTTTGAGTTTATAAAGTCTCGCTTAGGCAAGTGGTTCTCAACCTGTAGTAAGCGATTACATTGATCATATCGGGGAAAAGGCAAAAGTGATTTTTTCCCCTCCAACAGTTCATTGTATAGGGTACTCAAAAATTATTATAATCAATGGGTATGAAAAAAAGGCACCGATTCACGTAATGGTATCGTGACATATATATTACACATATTTATTTAACTTTAAAAAATAAATAAATTCAAATACATTTAAGGACAGTAACCCGAGGCGAGTTGGTAGAGGCGTGCGATTTCTCTTAGGGTTGTGGTCCTTTTTATTTTCTCACCTGGTGATAAGGGAAACTACTCTTATTATAATAAAAGATAAACTATTTCTAATTGTCTCCCTTCTCGGTGTCTATCTTTGTAATTAGTTGAATGGATTTGTTTTGTTTTTTTTCAGTTACCATTGTATTATAATTCTAATAGGACATTTGCAACAAGCATTTTAAAGACTTTCAAAGCGAGTTTCTATGAAAACCGCTGGACATGTACTTTCACACCTTTAAGGAAAATGTTTGTGGCAAATTTTGTAAACATTATGCTATTATTAAGTAATCAAAACTTTCATTTCTATTATTATAAATGTTTACCCTCTGTTTAAGACAGACTCTATAATCTTAACATCTAATTGTGTTCAAAAAGACAGATTAAATAATCTTACTATACAATCTGTTTAAAAAATCTTTTCTGTGAAATCTTCAAGAAGCGGACATCATCTGGTCCCCTCTATTCATGCACACATTTTCCAGACCCAATTCGGTTACTCCAAACACAACACCTTGAAAATTAAACAACCAAAAAACATTAGGCAAGCGAGGATATTTATTTCTCAGAGCAATATCATGTTTGGAATACACAAAAGGAGGTTTTTAAAAAATTTTTAACCTGAAGGAAATATAAACATTTAAAAGTTAAGTAAATAGATTAGCTGAGATTTCAAACTTTCCTGACACTCAGATAAAACATTTCTAAGAAAATCAGGACAATAACTTAACAATCATCTGAGAGTAGGAAGTAGTTGTCTTCACTTTAACAATTATTTATTAAAGACACAGTTTGATCAAGAGATCCGTTTATGTTTTGATGAACAATTTGTATAGAGGAAGAGTTGACAACATATCTCATGTATTTACACTCTCATAACACAGAAATAACCCCCCCCCCCCCCTTTTTTTTTTTAGAAGGAAGATTTGACATATGACATCTGACAGATTTACACAATGAAAAAAATAAAAAAGTCAGGTTTTAAGTTTTGGAAGAAATCACATAAATAAAAATACTTAACAGTTGGGACAGACATGCCAAAACTAAACTTGGAGATTTGCCTTAAGCTTATCCTAGACACTAGTTCAATTGGCACATAATAGTGCTATACAAGGCCTGGTGGCACACTGTGTTATGTGCAACTGAAACACACACAAACAAATTGGCACATAATAGTGCTACACAAGGCCTGGTGGCACACTGTGTTATGTGCAACTGAAACACACACAAACAAAAACCACCAAACTGAGCTTTTAGATGATTTACACTGTAGTTTTGTATGGAGGACAACTCTTGGAGATGAGAGGGACATTACTGGGAGATTTAGTTCAGTGAAATAAAAATCACTGTGGGTCAAAGGCATAACAATTGAAGCCCAGTCCCACACCCTATGCCCCTGTAATCATCCTTTTTGTTTGCAAACGTTTAATTTGTTTATTGACATTTTAAATAAAACATTTAATATTTTCAAGGAATCCACTGGAGTGACATTTCCGACAGTGAAGCGGGTTGTAAAAGAAAAAAAAAAAGTCACTCATTTTTAGAAGAATGCATTTTTCTTCAAGCAAAAATAAATAATCATAGAAAAAATCCTATTTTAAAGTTTCAACTCTAGTGTCCAATAACTTTGTTTAACATATATAGATAGATATTCCCAGATGATTGGGATAAGTAAACTGCGTATATCATATAGGGCACTAGCAACCCCTGACAATATAAGGTCTGGGAATATTAACACATATAAAAAGTATCATTACACTAAAGAACTAACAGACCGATTCAATAAAGTTTTTACTGGCTTTTTAAATATAAACTGAATTTTATCATCTATGGCTTATGGGAATGTTTTTATGGCAAGATATACAAGTTGGTATTAATAAAACTATACCACAAAGATTAGAATAATCACAGCTACCATGTACAGATGACAATGCACAATGTATTATCTATTCATGTGTTAAAACAATCAGAAGTGTTCACTTTTAAATAAGATATTAAGTTAAAGTGAAACCATTCTTGTAAGGTTTAAAATAAATAATTGTAACATTATCTTCATATTTGCACATTAGTTGTCAGATCAATGGGAAAAATTCAACCTTTAACCGTTTCATAAACTCGAAATCAATTTTTTTTAAAAATAATTTTTAAAAAGCAGTTAAGAGAAAAATAAAATGTTGAAGATGAGTATAAGATTCAAGTAGTTCCATATTATGCAAGGAAGCTCAAGTGAAGAAAGAAATTTTCTAAGTTTGGTGGAATTCAAAAAGAAAATGTTTGTAATTTGAGGAGACAGCTTTGTAAATTTTAAATTTAAAAAAAACAGGAAAACTGTACTAAGTAAAGAAAAGAACTTGATACGTTTTAGAAATCATACTGGAAAAACAAACACATTGACATATATATATAAAATATTTGAATGTCTCTCAAAATTCTCAAGATGATTCCTCTCTGTGTATCTGTGTAAAGACACGGATCCCATTAAAAATTAAAAAAACGTGGACGCTTACATTTCTAGTTTCAAAATAACAAACATTCAACTATTACTTACTATTATCCTATTTTTAAGACAAGTCTCTATAGGTTCACATTACAAGCATTCAACTATTAGCATTAATTTAAGAAAAGTCTCTCATAAAAATACCAGACTTTTGAACCAAATAATAAATAAAACGTTAGATACTGGGAGGAAAAGGGAGGCAAACAAGGGTCAAAGTTCAATAACCTGATTATGCTTATTTTCAAACCTAAACTAAATCTTGAATTCCCAGCCTTCAAGATAGACCAAGATCTTTCCATGACACTCTGTCTTGTCCTTCCCATCAGCATCATTTCAATAACTTTTCAGCACTTAGGTGCAAGGATGTAACTAACAAAATGATACATTATTTGAAATAAAACTCCAACATACAACAGTTTGTTGCTACTACTGATGCAGTAAAAATGTTCAATAAAAATCAAATATTTTAAGATGATTCTCAAACTTTTCTACGATCATTCACTTCAAACCACAGCAGCTTATAAAAATGTCTAAGTTAATCAATTGCAGGATATTGTAGCATCATAACACACTCTACCTGTCAGCAGCCCACTTTATGAACTCACAGCAATTAACCATCAAAACTAAGGGAACTTACTCCTCTACAAACAACCTCTACAGGGATTCTCTTTTCCCTTTTTCTTTTCATATGGTTTCTAATGATTTCTAAATGGATTGCTAGGGTCATGGTCACTTGGTTTTGACTGGAGTCAGTTGTAAAAATGTAACATGAAACATAAATGTAGGTAAACAATTTCAATGTGTTGTCATTTGAAACATGAAGAAAACAACCCTTTGTGATGTCAGCATAGATCACCTGGTGCCAGAGTTAACAATCTCCACATTCCTGGCTTCTGATATGAACCTACAGCCCTAATATTCTGTGCCACTGATCTGATATGAGCAGATAATTCATAGAATATCACTGTGTAATATCAATGTCACAACATGTGTATCTAATTAGTGGACAATAATACTTGATGTCATGCTTCAAAACAAAAATAAATGATTCAGAACTCAATAGAATGGTATTTTATTTAATAATACCATTAATGGATGGTATTCTTGTGGATCAAAATTTGATAATCAAATGATACTAGGATATAGTGATAAAATAATGAACATGTATTAATTTAATATAAAATATATTTAATGCATTGCTCAATTATGTCTTTTATTAATAATGAAAGCCAGTTAACATTGTAAGTTAGTAGGAGCAACAGCAACTATTTATATCAATCTCTAGAGTAGTATACATGACCAACATTCTATATACATGATAATTAACATTTACATAAACATATATCAAAATGACATTTATATTCATCAATGTAGGGTTTTCTTAACAGGCAACACCTTAGAGGACAAAATTAAACTACACCGTAAAGAAGTACGTACATAAATATCGCTTTTGTATTTAGGACGAACAAAATAAAAATAATTCTTTCAAGG